CGTCTGCAACGGATCTTGCCACTGATGTTGTCGCCATCTCATCCCTCCTTGTAGTTCTTCCTGCTTCTTCGTCTCCTCCCATTCCCCGTGTACCAAGTTTGCATGCAATCGGGAGATCGCATAGTTTTGGAACCCCCTGCGCGTCACATATGTGACGAACCACTTCCCGACCCCATGCTATCTTTCGTACCCTTCTGCTCATTTTTGTTTTTGTACCATACGGGCCCATCAAACCCCTTGTTGCTTTTCTTGATTTCAGGCGCCTCGTTTTCGGCCCTCAATTTTCGGAAGTTTAATTGATTCTTGGAATTCTGCTTTTTAAAATTCGGGAAATGCATGGGAGATCACGCGCGCCTTAGCGAGCGCGTGGGGAATTGAGCTCGACAGTTGGGAGTTCCGGAATAACTGGAACGCGACGTGTCCTTTTTGTGCATGAATGTTCTCGGTCACGTCGTCAAAAGCTCTAGGAATTTTGTAAGGAATATGGATAGACGTAGGATTCTCTTTTCCCGCGTAGACTTCGCGTGCGGACATGGTGATTTCGATTTTTGAATTGTTGTAGGACATAGGCAAGCTGTAACTGTTTTGGTGCCTTTTTGTCTTGCTGCTAGCGCCATGCATGCGAGCTTCCTCCTCCTTATTCCCCGCGCCATTTCTCCCCCGCGTATCATCTCTCTCTCTCTCCCCTCCCTCCCCTGTTCCTCTCATCATAACTATTTTTCCCTCTCTCCCTCCTCTTAGCGCGCCTGTTCTTACTTCTTGATCGACTGAATCTTGGACCCGTCTTGCGCAGTTTCTCGCGCCTCTTTTCTTCCCGCTTCCTAACTTCAACTCCCGAAGCCCGGTCGATCCTCTGATTACCCCCGCTCACAAATCAGGCGCGCTGAGCAAAAGGGACTTCCTGTTGCACGACGAATCTGATTGGCCGAGCACCGGGTTGTGAGGACCCAACATGGCTTCCCTTGTGTCTTCCCCTCTGAGTCCCTCCTTTCTACACCTTGACTCGTTCTCCTCCTTCCCTCCCTTCCCGTTCTCCTCTCGCAACTATAAATTCTGCAAGCGCGCCCGCAAATCTCTCTCATGCTCTCAACGCGCAAGCCAGCTTCCGGGAAGTAGTGGGTAGGCAATATGTTTGGTGCGAGTCGGAAAGTCCTGTCGGGCTGACTGTAGGCTGGCCGGTTGCGCGCTGGATCGCCACGACGGACTGTGGGGTCTGGGCGAGCCGTGTCGAGCTGCGTCGGCGGGGTGACGATCGCAGGGGCGGAAGGTTGCACGCGACGGCCTGGATCGTCRGTGMAGGGTTGAAAATCAGCAGTAGAGTRGAGTGGTTAACTGGCCTGGGGCCAGGTTGGAATTTCACGGCGGATGCGCCTTTCTTATTGCRGATCTATTCCCCTTGGTGTGAGTGCACGGCTGCAAAGCCGATCGTTTCTTTTTGAATTTTTGTACTTGTGATTCCGACATTCCTCGTCTATCTCCTCTCTTCCKTCCTGATACTYTTTCTCCCTCRTGARAATGAGTTTGTRAGATTGAAGTCGAATGGTCCGTGTCTCAGATCTGTGTATTTCYGGAGTGTGACTCCTCCCTTAGCCTCCTCTYTTCCCTTCTCTYTTTCTGTGAATGAGAATGATGACGTGTGAAGTGYCTGTGAMCWGAAGTGAACTCGCATGTATCCGAGCATGAGAGAACTTTTTTCGGAACTCTTCCGCTTTCTCTCCCTCCCCTTCTTCTTCTTTTTGAGTGTTAATCTGACGCTACTCGTCTCAGATCTGTGTATCTCCCGACCTTTTTTCCGATCAGAGAGACATAGCAAGCAAGAGTGAATACCTATGACCTTCTGCTCGGAAGAACTTCTTCCTGAACTCTTTCATTAGTTTCCTAGGTAATCCCCGAATGTGCGGGACTTCCCCGTCTTGACTTGTGAACGGTGGATGCGTGTGTGTGATCTCCCCGTGTGCTTTCATTTGATGGGATGAGTGTGTGGTTGTTTTTGCACCTTCCACAGTGAATGAAGGCGTGGTTGCCTCTCGTTCGATGAGGGCTCATTGACTTTGCCCGAGAATGTGAGAGTGTTTAGATATGTCGCTTTGGATGCACTGCGTATGCCACCTGCCTTAAGTTGCACAACATCTCCCTCCCCCAAAAAGGGATAGAGCTCCTCCGATTAACGTCCAGCGAAATTATCAACCTTGAGTCGTGGGTTGGTCCCCCGAAATCCCCACCCAACCAGTTCGCACCAATTAATATTGTTGTACGGGCTCCGTAAACGTTTTTGGCGGGAATTCTAGTCTCTTTGCATTTTCTTTTCTGATGACGTCACGGGATCTTTGCACTCTTTATTCGGCTGATTGATATGTGGACTGACGGGCGCGTTTCGATTGGGTGCCAGCCTCCCGTATCTCCCAAACCAGCGCCTCCCTTCCCGTATAACAAGGAAAGGACACGTGTCTGTGAGTGGGACGTACGAGAAGCTGTCGCACAAATCGGCGGAGGATATTATTTTCCTCCTGAAAATCGTTGTCTTGGGTTCGTGGACGCAGACTTTGTCATTGTCGATATGCACTTCCCGCCTTACTCTGTGTTGTTGCCATTCAACAAGCTCATCGTCATTCCGTGGACGGCAGTAGTACCCCACTGGCCCAGAACTCTATGCTCTGAGTGTCGACGCTTCGATCGATACGAATCGAAGGGGTTCCACTATCGTATACGGAGTGAAGAAGAGCACAAGGAAAGAGCCACCCGACTGAGACCTTCCACGTCGGACTCGGAACTAACCAACGAGCGATGTCGGGACTTGATAAGGAAGCGAGATACGCGGAGCGAGCCGAAGGCCGATGTACTCAATGGCCTGCGAAGGTGCGACCACGTCTTCTTCTCGAGCTTGCTGATGTGTCCACTCGTTGACCAAGTGCCCACGCTCGTAGTGCTGCTCGGATCTCCGTAGCGCGGAGCGAATCCGAGAGAGATGTGAGATCGCCGCTCAAATTGATGACGGTCGTTATTCGGCTGACACGTGGCAAGGAACGCTGATGTACTGTCGTTGCTTCCGCCAATACCACCGCGTCCGGGCGTCCTTCGATCCGAAAAGTTGTCGCTGCGTACACTCCCGTGGTGCAGAAGAAATGCACAAGGCGCCCAAAATCGGGGCAGATACGAGGATGATGGACTTGGCGAATGAACAACTGTCCTCGCGGTGCCAGCGCTTGCTCGCTGAGTGCTTGCTCCCTGAGAAAACTCATGGCGAGGGTGGAGAAGAGGGTGAAGAATGAGAGGGAGACGGAGGGATGGAGACGGGGGTTAGATCGTCTTCGTCTTCGTCTTCAGCAGACGAAGGAGACAAGGAGAAATCGGGAGGAGGGAGAGGATAGATGTAGGAGGTATGGCGAACAATGGGGACGGAGCTATGGCTGGCGCTGGCCTCAGGCGCGATGCGCACCGTGTTGGCACCGTTGGGTCCAAGCTCGACGATGCGGGAACAACCAGAAAATTTGGGAGCGAGTTTCCGGTCGCATGCACATTTACGTACCTGCACCAGGTCCCCCAATTTATATTGATGCTGGGGACCCGTATTCCCATTTCGGGCCTCGTAACTACGGACCTGTCTCCCGTGGGCTAGATCAGTCATTTTGTGCCTTTTCCGTGCTAGTTTCGGGATAGACCTTACCATTAAATCGGCATACCTTTTGGCCTTGGCCTTAAGGGCTGCACGTGTGTCCCTACCCCCTGCCTCGGCAATTTCCAAGTGGCCTCGATAATCGACACATGGGAGGCTATTGGTGCGAAGCTGAAAGGGGGTGAACCCTGTGGATTCGTGAGGGGTGGCCCGATGAATTCCGACGATTTGATACACGATTTCGGGCCATGAACGCGTGCCATTTGCCGCTAAATTCCTGCGAAGAGCCGTCTTAATCATGCGATTGGCATTTTCGGCCAATCCATTCGACTGAGAAACGTGGGGCGCCGTATGCCGAAGCGTGATGCCTCGTCGTGCAAGCAGTTCCTCGACTTCGCCCTTGAATTCGGACCCATTATCCTTCAGAATTTCCTCCATATCTAGATGGGTATAGAGAAAACGATCGATGTACGTGGCTATTTTTGCGGCCTTACGAGTCTTGCACGGGTAGACCTCAATGTATTTGGAAAAATAATCTATTAAAACTAAAAGAATGAAATATTCGCAACGGTTTGGGCCAGGTGGCACTTCAATATCTGTCGTGTCCATACCACAAGTGGTTAACCAGGGGTGTTATCTTCGGCGAATTTTGCACCGAAACAGTCATATTGTGCTGATTTTTTGCTTTTTTTCTTGTTTTTTTTTTTTTGTGTGATATATTGCTTTAGGGTACGTCATGTGTCCAGTTTTGACATGTTTGGATCAATAATGAAAAAGTTGGCGTTTCGTTGAATTCGTTAGACGCTTCATTTTAACTCGGACAGTGTTTTTGCGTTAGGGTTTTACAATGTTTTTTTATTTTTTTTTTCGTTTTTTTTTGCCTGTTTTTTTTTTTGATGTTTGCACTATGGACCCATATTGTTTGTTTTTGAAAATTTTGATGAATTTCGCACCGAAATTGCTGGCGAAATTGGCGAATATTTGGCCTCCCGTTAACCATCTCTCGTCCGTACTGACTCGTTGGAAAGGACGCTCTACTTCTGTCGGTACTATCGTGTTTGGACCCCGTATTGGGGCGCGATCAGCGACACAGACCGGACAGTTGGCGACGACGTACTTGACATCATCCCGTATATTGGACCATAACCATCGATTTTGGTCTACAATTGCCTCTGTGACACGTATCGCGAAATGAGCGGCTTGCTCCTCGTGAGCCGATCGGGTCCAATCGTACCTTTGAAACGGATGAGGAACCATCAACCATAACCCCGATCCGTCAGTTTTACGCTTTTCCAGATGACCGTTGATCCATCGGTAGTCTCTAGATCTCTCCGTAGCCCGACGTCTGTCATGCTTAGTGAGATGATCCAATGATAAACCGACCCATTTAGCTTATAAAATTTTATCCGTCCAGACTTCTGCCCGTCTATACTTCTCGTCGTATCCGGGACCGTCCGTACGGGCGGCCTCGAATCGAACCTCTGGCGGTAACTTGTCTGTCCGACACAAAGGGCATTTCCACACTTTGTTGTCGGTCCGGTACCTGATGCATGCTCCATGTGCGCGATTAACGCACGTGGAACAGTCTACCCAATCAGCAAATCCGGTCTCAGAGGGGTGAAAATCCACCCCGTAGACCCGTGAAATACACGTACAAAAATAACAGAATTTATCAGGGAGGGTGGCGAAGAAGGCTGAGGCGGTGAGAGAGGCGAGTTCAGATGGAGAAGCGGGAGTCGTGGAGACAGGTGGGGTAGCCATAGTTTAAAAGGAAAAGTCAGAGAGGAGAAGAAGAAGAGATGGAGAGGGAGGGAGCTCGGGGGAAGATAGACGGAAAACCCCGTGTCACTCACTCCTTCGGTAAGATTTCCACTTGTCCGTACCGGGGTCCGATTTCGCTCTTCGGCTCGTTCCACAGAACCACCTCCTCACTCTTAGGAACTCTATCTGGTCGATGCAGTCGCGTCAGTGCGTCTGCGTTCCCGTGCCTCTCATGCTTCCGTTGACGGATGTCAAAGTCCATGCTCTGCAACACTGTTGCCCATCGGCCAATCATGCCCGAGTAATCCTTAGATTTCTTCAGGGTCAGCAGGGGCTCATGATCGGTCAACAATGTGAACTTCCGTCCGTACAGGTAGGCTCGAAAGTGACTGATTCCCCACAAAGCTGCATAGCATTCTCCGGTAGGAGCGGCGTAATTGCGTTTGCACGCTGGCACTGACTAGGATGCGTACTCAACCACGTGTTCGAGTCCGTTCAATCCCACTTGAGCCAAGATCGCGAAAATCGCCTCTGGTTGCCAGTCCATGATGAGGACAAAAGGCTTTTCAGGATCCGGTCTTATAAGGACCGGTGCCAAAATAAGAGCTGCCTTGAGTTTCAAAAACGCGTGGTCACACTCCGGCGCCCAGATCAACGATTGATCTTTCTTCAGCAGATTTGTAAGGGGTCCCGCAATTGCCGCAAAACCCTTGATGAATCTTCGGTAGTACGAGGCCAGGCCCAGGAAGGCACGAACCTGCGTGATAGTCATAGGTCAGGTGCATCTCTGACAGCTGCTACCCTCTGGGGTTCCGGCCTGAGCCCCTGGTCTGTCACCACTGTCCCAAAAAGGAAATTGTGGTGAGGAAAAACTGACATTTTTCGAGCGCCACCTTGAACCCGGCGTCTTTCAACGCATGTAATGCCCATTTGATGTGTTGCACGTGCCCTTCGTAGGAGCTTAAATGAACCAAAATATCATCCATGTACACGATCACACAATAGTTGATGATGCTGTGTGCCAACCGCGTCTTCCGTACAAAATTATGGAAAGCCATGCTCATGGCTCGCTGAAAAGTCGTTGGTGCATTGCAGATGCCTATTGGGCATCAAATCCACTGCGAAGTTCCTTCGAACAACACAAACGCCGTCTTCGGACGATCTTTCTCACGAACGAGAAGATGATGGAACCCATGACGAACATCAAACTTACTGAAAAATCGTGCACTCCCAATCGCATCCAGCAATTCGTGAATACGGGGAAGGGGATACACATCTTTAATCGTGATATCATTCAGCTTTCGATAATCAATGCATATGCGGATCCCTCTTGACTTTTTGGGTACAATTACCACGGGAAACGACCATGGTCCTATGGCGGGTTCAATCCATCCATTAGCTTCGAATTCCTTAATTCGCTCAAAAGCGGGTGCCCGTTGGGCTGGCGAGTATCGATAAGGAACGTAGCTAATGGGCGGGTGATCTCCCGTCACGATAGCGTGCTCTATCACATTGGACAACCCAATATCGTTATTGTGCACACTTAAAATTTCCACGTACCCATGCAAAACATCAATCAAAGATTTTCGAAATTCCAGAGGAACGTGATTAGGCACAGTCACGGATGGTTGATCGGGTATTTCAAGAGGCACGTTAATCCCATTAGTGGGTCGGTCCCTTCTGTCAAGTACACTAGAAAACACAGAGCTGCTGGTGCGAACAGAAAACACAGCCGCAATCATCTGAGATTCCGCAGGGCTAACCATCTCGGTCTCTTTGATCTCGGCATCAGTCTCAGAGTCAGTTGTTGCTTCTTCCACAGTTAGGCCTGTCAACTCTTCCATTTCCTGCAACAAATCCGGCATGCCAACTACGGGAGCTTCGGCTTCTCGTTTAATCAAAGCAATGGTCGCCCCCGTTGTGAGTAGCGATCTTGGAGGGGAGGTAGAGACATCCAGATATTGTTTCATCTGTTGGTAGCGCTTGGAGAGAAAGCGTTTCCTCGTACAAGGTACGAGGGGGTTCCAAATCCTCTGCAAGATCCGAAATTTGCAGGATAGGTTCCTCGATAAAGGTCGAGAAAGTACCTTGGGTTTCAGTTGGGACAGTCGTGTTATCTTCGAGACTCAAATGAAATGTTCGTGTGGTTCCGGGAACCACGCGGAATTTCTCCTGAGTTTCGTGTTCGAAAAGTTCGACCAAATGCTTCCATTCTTCTTTATTAGGCGTTTCTTCTTTATACTCCAGCTCTTCGAATCCGCTACTGTCATCCGGCGATGAAGATGGATTTGCTTCGCAATCGTGACCCCGAATCATTCCAATCCCACCAAAACCAGAGTTTCTTGTTACTGTCCGGGTGGAAATCCGTAACGGAACAGTTCGAGGTTTCCCTCCTGTTTGCCTGAGCACCAGCTGTTTAGAATCGAAATGTATGCGGGCACCTACCGCCATTGCCCACGGCAAACCTAGCAATACAGAATACGAGTGCACGTCTTTAACTAATGCGTTTACAAGGACATGTACTCGACCGACTTGTATCACCACGTTTTCAATGACCCCAACGATATTCATCGCTTCCTCGTCAGCAGAGACATAATTATCTTTGTGAGATTGAGGAAGGATGGAATTGAGTCGGCCCGTTCTTCTTACCGTGTCTAAGGATATGGCGACCACTGAATCCCCAGTATCGATGAGGGCATTAAACGACTTGCCCCAGATTTCACAATCACATTCCGCACTTTTCCATAACACAGGACGAGCTCGTACGAAGTGATCTTTCTCGGCTAGCGAGATCTTGGCTACTCGTGCGGCTTCCGGCTTGTTTGTTCCGGGTTCAGGAGGGGCAATCCCCTCGATTTCTTCCTCCTTGTTTTTCTTCAGCATCCGCTGAATGCGCTGATAGGTGAAACGCTTCTGGTTCTTTTGACACTGTTGCAACAACTTATCATTGGCCGCTTCGGATATGGTGAGCAAATGCCCTACTGGCACTGGAACACGGATATCCAATTGCTTTAACATTCGTAACACATCAATTTCCACTGTACGAAATTGTGGTCCTGGGTTTGATTCGCGTTCTACCCATTCAAGATCGTCGTTGCCCGATTGGATCGCTCCGATCATGCTGGTGGTCGTCCCAGCCATACCGGCAAGATGAAGGTACTCCGTCGGATCAACCACTTCAGCAGCTTCGGATGGCGAAGTTCCGGAAGTCCATGCAACTGGCATCGACGGAAACGGTAGTTCGGGTGTGTAGGCGACGATCGCGTCATCGCGGATCGTATCCATCAGTGTCGCTACTCGTCCCTGATTCAAAGCTACGGGGGTTGCAGCCGGTGGAGGTTGGTTCCGTTTCGGCTGCTGATAGTCTCGGGCGAAATGTCTGGGCTGTTTGCAGTTGTAACACTCAATTCTCCCTGCAAGGTTGGCTGCTTGGGGGAGCTGCGGCGCATATCCAGGTGCAGGTGGAGCGGCCAAGAGGGGGAAAGAGGCAGGGGCAGGTCAAGCAGGAGCCGGGTTCGGCTTGATTAATCTGCCCATGATCTGTTCCATTCGGTCCATGTGAGCTGCCTGCATCTGAACCAGAGTGCTCATCCATTCAGACTGTTTTGTGGTGGCCGTGTGAATCATCTGTGCCAGATGCATGTTCGTTATGGCGGTGGAAGCGGGATCGCTCTAGGGGTTGACTGTAGCAACCTGCTGATGCATTGAAAACGATTGAGGGGGGGGAGAAAATGACAGCGGAATATCAGGAGCAAACCCATCCGGGATATCATGATCAGGGCGAGGATAATATCGTCCTATCGCTTGCAACCACGACCTTCTCGCCGCCACGTCTAGGATTGTGTCAGTTATATCCAGCGTTGTCACGCGGGGATCCCCGGGGCCCAAGCCGGGGTAGGGGTTTCACCCCCGG